GGATGGAAGGATGGTACAAAGGCTGCATGTGGTTTTGCCTCATTATGCTGCAGTTAGGCGGAGGGCTGCATGGAGGCAGCGGGGGTTAGGGTCCCCACAGACCGGCTCAGGGGCCACAATACCGGCATGGACGGCTGCAAAGGGAGACCCTGCCATGCCATTATCCCGCCGCTACTAACGAGGGCTTCATACGCCTTTGATATAATCTCACTATTGAAATCCTGATAAATCCCCCCTGCGTTTACAGCCAAATCCCATTTGTAACGGGTTCGTGGAAGGCTGTGTGAGTGCGTGCGTGACCGCCTGTGTGTGTGAGTGTGTGTGTGTGTGTCGTCTTCACCTGCGCCTCTCTGTTCTGGCAGGCGAGGCCAAGGAGAGTCGCATGTTAAACCGGGCCGTTACACTGGCTTTAATTAAAAAATCCCCTCTCTCGCGCACAAGACATCTCGTGAGCCGATCTGAGCTGAGACCAAATTAGAATAAAATCAATGTTTAAGTGGATATAGTCCTCTTCCAGCCTCAGATATGATCTGATAGGCAAACAATTACTGGATTACAACACACTAGGGGGATGAATAATAGAAGACAGGCATATTTATGGAATTTATTAATGAGAATAAAATGAGCACTAAAATGATGCTATTACCACCAGTTACACCACATTCTGTTGAATCTCTGGTCCTGCCATTATTCAGCATGTTAAGCTGTCTGAGCATTATGGGTCTATCGTAAGTCCATTATATGAAATCTTATCTGTCTGGGTGAGTGGATCAGGGCACTCTGAGGTTGGAGAAAATGACAAATCACGTCATATTCTTGCATGAAGTTATTTCCCTGTCAGAAGTGGAGAGGTCAGTGGGACAGCTCAGTCTGCCACTGACTGCTTTTACTCCAGTGGGTTACACAGGACACGTGCGTGTGGATCCAACCGAACAGTGTTTAAGCATAAATCTCTTTACACCGAAAGTGCGCCTATAGGGTAAAGCATCCTGAACAGATACTCCTATTCAAATGCTTTGTCCTCTAGCTCAGGGACACTGCGCATCTCTGTGCTCCCCCCCATGTGTCGGTGCGCAGACTCATTTAACAGCCCGAGGAACATAAACAAGCAACGGAAACTATAGCTGTATTAAATCAAGCCCCGCGTTTAGCCCACATATTGGGTGCCAAGTTTCTCCGCACAGTCCAGGAATCTCTAAACAGGGTTTAGAGGTCTTTCAGAAGTCCCCCTTTTTTTCCCCTCTCAAAGCTCGGATTGGTCACAGTGCGGCTCATTTGCATGCCTCGCCGTATAAACCCTCCTGCAGACACTGCAGCCCTCTTGCGCTGAGAGAGCAGCACACCTCCAGTAGAGAGAGAGAGAGAGAGAGAGCGGAGCGCATCCAGAGTGCGCATTGAAAGACATATGGAATATTTATTACTGGCTTTACACAAAGAAACAAACAACCCCGGAGAGTCGACCAGAGCGGGGAAGGAATAGCTTTTTTGCAGGTGCTTTGTGTTCAAACTTTAAATCGGACTCAGTGCGGACAGTTTATTGAATTTCAGATTATTTTGGAGTGAAGGTGTCAAGATGGGAGGAATAGGGTGGAACGGGCTGATGGTGCTAGTGTGCGTCTTTTTGGCAAGCCTGGCCGCTGTCACACAAGGAAAGACGGTGAAATATCAGACATTTGAGGAAGACGCACCAGGGACAGTGATTGGAAACTTGGCCAAGGACATCTCCTCCACCGGCTCTTCATCGGGGGGCTCCAGGACCAATTTCAGGATGATGAAACAGTTCAACTCCTCTTTCATCCGTCTGAGGGAGAGCGACGGGCAGCTGACCATAGGAGAGAGGATAGACAGGGAGCGGATCTGCAAACACACCCTGCACTGCCTCATCGCTTTCGACGTGGTCAGCTTCTCCAAAGAGCAGTTCAAACTCATCCACGTCGAGGTGGAGGTCAAGGACATCAATGACAACTCCCCCGAGTTCCCCCGGAAAGAGTCGAGTCTGGAGATCTCCGAGAACACAGCGGTGGGCACGCGGATCCCGCTAGACTTTGCCGTGGATGACGATGTTGGGGTGAACTACATCCAAAGCTACCAGATCTCCGTCAACAGCCACTTTTCAATCGACGTGCTCAGCAGGGCCGACGGGGTTAAATATGCGGAGCTGGTGCTGATGAAGGAGCTGGACCGGGAGACGCAGGGTACTTACGCGCTTGAGCTGGTTGCTATGGACGGTGGCAACCCGTCCCGGACCGGAACAACGCGCATCAACGTCAAGGTGAAAGACTACAACGACAACAGCCCGGTGTTCGACAGGAACAGCTTCTCCGTGGACCTGCCCGAGGACGCACCGGTGGGCTCCCTCTTGCTGGACCTGAACGCGGAGGACCCGGACGAGGGGCTGAACGGCGAGGTGGTGTACGGGTTCGGTAACCAGGTGCCCACAGAAATACGACAACTCTTCAGAGTGGACAGGAAGACCGGGCGGCTCACCCTGGAGAGCCCGATTGACTTTGAAAGTAAGACCACGTACGAGTTTGACGTCCAGGCCACCGACCTGGGTCCGAACCCGAGCCCGGCCATCTGCAAAATTGTAGTGCAGGTGCAGGACGTTAACGACAACGCGCCGGAGATCTCCATCACCCCCATGACGTCCATCACGGCGGGGATAGCGTACATCACCGAGGCGGCGGCCAGGGAGAGTTTCGTGGCTCTGGTCAGCACTTCGGACAGAGACTCCGGCGCTAACGGACAGGTGCACTGCACGCTGTACGGACACGATCACTTCAGACTGCAGCAGGCGTACGAGGACAGCTTCATGATCGTGAGCACCAGCCCGTTAGACCGGGAGAAAATCCCCGAATATAACCTCACAGTAGTGGCGGAGGATCTGGGCTCCCCTCCCTTCAGAACCATCACTCAGTACACAATCAGACTGACGGACGAGAACGACAACGCTCCGGTGTTCAGTAAACCGGTGTATGAGGTGGCCGTGGTGGAGAATAACGCACCGGGCGCGTACATCACCACGGTGGTGGCGCGGGACATGGACATGGGGTCAAACGGGAAGGTCAGCTACAAACTGGCGGACACATACTTTATGGGCTCCCCCATCTCCACCTTCGTCTCACTGGACCCCGCCAGCGGGTCGCTTTACGCGCTCCGGAGCTTCAACTACGAGGTGATGAAACAGCTGGAGCTCCGTATCACGGCCAGCGACGGCGGCTCCCCTCCCCTGACCGGCAGCGCTAACGTCTATGTGAGGATAGTGGACCAGAACGATAACGCACCGGTCATCATTCAGCCGGCGCTCAACAACGGTTCCGCTGAAGTCCTCCTGCCCCGGGACTCACCGAGCGGCTACGTCATCACCCGGGTAGAGGCGCGGGATGCGGATGAGGGCGTGAACTCGGAGCTGTCCTACGGGCTGGCCACCGGTGAGCCCTCCGTGTTCTCCGTGAACAAAGCCACCGGGGAGATCTACCTCAACCAGGTGCTCAGCCACGACGTGGACGAAACCCTGAGCGTGACCGTGACGGCGAGCGACAACGGGACGGCCCGCGCTCACCTCCACCGCCACGCTCCACTTCGTCATCATCGCGGGCTCCCCGCCGAGCGACAGGACAGTGTACCAGTCGGGCAGCGGGGACGAGGTGCACGCGCAGTGGGACCTGTCGGTGGTGATTATCGTTGTGCTCGCGGGGAGCTGCACGCTCCTGCTGCTCGCCATCATCCTCATCGCCACCACCTGCAACCGGCGCAAGCGGGACAAGAGCGGAGAAGACAGCGACTCGTACGGGGAGAAGGGCACGCTGGAGAGGGGCAGGAACCACGTGGCGGACAACCCGCTTCTGCCTCTCCA